AATTAATAAAACCGTATATCTATGATTGGAGTCTAAAATAATTGGAAATTTTTCATTAAAATCAATATTTACATCTTGAATTCTACCCTGAAGCCTAATGATACCATTATTATCGAGAAATGGAGACAATTTGTACAACCTGCTGGATTTGGATAAAGGTATTGTGTTTTTAACAATTGTACCTCGTCTGGAAAACTATTTCTTTGACAGTGGCAAATCCACATTTTCTCAGCTGCTTCTACTGAATCAACATCTAAGGACATTTCAGTTGGCCGATCTTGTTTTCTCATTCATAAACATTTGACAATATGAAGGACCGAGAAATATCTGGCAGAATTTCTAATTCATATGATCTCTCAGATATTAGAAGAATCCTTTCTTCTTGGTGTCAACGAGTATTTGGCTCTACTGGCCAGCATTCTTTGGATTTTTTAAGAAAACTAGGACCATTCAACCAAAGATTTTGAGCTGATAAATCTACTGGGTTAGACTCCTTGGTTGGTAAATTAGCTACGTTTTCTTGACTTGACACCCAACGCCACTGCTCACTTTGGAATTTTCATGGATCTCTCTCAAGCGACAGGCAACAAAGGCAGGAAAACGTTTAGACTCTGACCTAATTTGATGAAGCACAACAAGAGAGTAAGTCCAGTAATAGACTTGTCGTATTTCATAGTCAAATTCAGAAATGATAGATTTCGAAACCCACAAGCCAATACACAAGCTTGAAGTTCTAATAATTTAGATACTGTTGTTTGCTGACCTAATTTAACGACTTATATCTAGAAGTGACAAAGGAAGTATAAAAGTTATCATTTAATTCGAGTCTCAAGAAAGCAACGCAAGCCAGAGCTTTCTCGCTAGAGTCACTAAAAATATGTAGATTAACAAATGGGATATTAGTTAAAGAAGGAAAGTATTATCGAGGAAAACTCATAGGCATTAAGTTTTGCTGTTCATGAATCCAAGTTTTCCATGAAACAAAAAGAGTTTCTGTAAGTTGAGAATCCCAAGCGATATTGCTTTTCCATATATTTTGCATTACTATTCTTGCTTTTACCATTACAGGTGCTAGAAACCCTAGTGGATCAAATATCGACTTCTCTTTTAGTAGGAAATCTAAAAAATTTGCAAATTTCTGGATTAATTTTCTTTATATTAAATAAATATGTAAAATTGTCATTAACTGGTGACCAAGAAAGATCTAAAATACGCTCAACTTTTTCTGTGTCAATTTTGAGGGCCTTTGGATTTACTGCTTTTAAATGAGCAGGTATTGATGAAATAACATCAGGGGAATTACTGATCCATTTCGTCATCTCAAACCCAGCTTGTGAATGAACGTGTATATAATATTTTTAACAGCTTCTAGGTATAGCTTGAGCTTCAGAAACAAATGAATCCAGGTAATCGCCGACGTAGTGTTGCTTCTTGATTTTCCATTCCATGCTAGGAAATTGGGCTTCATAAAGTTCTGCGTTACTATTTTTAACAAATTGAGCCATCACGTTCATTTGGTAAACATCAGATAATTGTTTTGAACCAAACTCATGCCATAGGAACCGTTGAGCGCATCTATCTTCATTCCTAATGTGGACCTGGTGAAACATATCCTTTATATCAATATTCACGGCAACTGGACCTTGTCTAAATCTGCACAACACTGCAATGAGTGATGGAACCAAGTTTGGACCTTGTAGCAGGAAATTATTAACGCATCAAAAACTAGTCGAAACTTTCCTGGCTTATTTATGTTCCATACTGCGAAATATGGAAGATACCAAGTTTTTGGTGTGTCTGTTATCTGAGACCTATTCAGTTTACTTGCATATTCTTTATTTAGGTATTCATGTATCTTCAGTTGATATTATTTTGTAAATTTTTTAACCGCTTTTATTTTTCGCTCCATACAAAAAAGTCTTTGAAGTGCAATCTAGTGGCTATCAGGCAACGTTTCTGTTTTGTCTCGCCAAAGGTGACCTATTTCATAATGGTTACCAGTTTTTCTTCAATGTCGTTTTCATGATGTCCAATGCTCTTTTGTCTTCGACAGATTTGACGGAATAATCATCAATTTTGATACCAAAATCATCCAAACGAAAGCTATCTTTTACTAATAAGTGAATTTCATCATCTTTTTCTGATGTGCAGCGTAAATGTACATTATTTAAAGGTCCGTGAATCGTCCAACCCAATTTAGTTTGTGACATCGTTGGTTGATCCAATCTTGGCTGGATGATCTCCCTAGATGCTATCAAACCGATGTAACTTTGACCTAATTGAATAAGAGGAATGACATCTTTGACTAATTCTTTGAACAATGCAATCCCTTCTTTTGTTCACTTGTTGACGACTTTTCTGTGATAATCGACTACCCTCAACTAGAATTGTTTTGCTGGTATGTTCCTGACTGATTCATTAAACAATTCCTCTTTCTGCAGTATCATTGACCACCTTAAAAGCGTTTACATGGCTTCTTAGAGAATCACTGCAGTATTATGTCACAAACAGTTCAACGAACATCTTTGTTTTATTTGTAACGAAATGGCGCAGGTTTTTTCTTTAAAAAATCACAATGTCCTGTATTAGATGTTGTAACATTAAAAGACATACCGGTAATATTGTCAAGTAGCCCAAATCGGTCCACTTTCCGAATAATTACCCCAGTCATCTGCTCCAGTTGCCTTTCAGAGCAGCAAGTACTCCAAGCAAATGCTCAAGCTCTCTTCAAAGGTTTTAACACTCCCATGGGCAACTGAAGGCAACACTTTAATATCCCAATGCAAGACCAAATGGAAACGATCTTCGATGTTCTTTGCCATTTCACTTCTATTGATCTCCCGAGCTCGGTAAATGGTATGTTATGTTAGGTATAGGGTATTAATACATTGTGACCTAAAAGATCTATTGTGTCCCCTTCTGTTGTTAATGCAGCAAGGATGCCTATCACAATCCTGTCTTTTTAAGGAAGTTTAGAATTTTGAGTGGCTTCAAGTTAGTTAGATCGCCCATCTATTTGGTATGCTAAGTATAGTGTCCTTGGATTCTGAAGTGCTACACATTCTGTCACTATCTTCCACTACTCTCAGTTTACTAAGGTGCCCTTTGAATCGGCAGTGCCCGGTAAGGATCCCTGTTATAATGTGTAGCCTGTTCTTGCTCAGGGAGATACAGGATTTCGATCTTTTTTGATTATACTCGCCTATAAGTGTCATGTCTTAGCCCCAAGAGATTGTACAATTATTACGGGAATTATAAGTTCTTCTATTATTTTTTTATCTCTCCTAATATTGTGTTACTACTAATACCAGAACGGCTCAGGTCCCACAAAGGGTGTATGACTATCCCCAATCTCGTTACTCTTTTCTCCGTTATGTCGCAGGACCCAAATAAGAGTAACTGTATTTTCCTCGCCTACCTCATTTTTTTCTAAGCATCTCCAGACTATTTTTGAGCTGAGTATCTTGTCTTGTTCTTTTTACCACATTCTCTATCATTAAATGTAGAGGGGTAGGACAGTTTCTTATTGGACAGTGCTTTGCACAGGCTAGTCTTTGTAATTTTGAGATTTAGCTCTTGTAATAATTTCTGTTACTCCAGGCTACAGCCCCGTAAGTGATGATTGGTTTCACTATTACTGTATACTATACATCCATCGCAGTATATTAGGGACATCTTCATATTTTATCAGCAATGTTTCTACATACGATTAGGGCTTTTGTGGCCTTATTTACTACTTCCTTCTCATATATGTTGTACAGAAGTTTGTTGTCGAGGGTTAGGTTAGGTTCTATATATATCAAGGCGCCATCTTTTGGTGTGTTCTAGTCCTTTGGATACACAAAAAATTTTCAAACTTGCCTCTAGCAAATATGACTGTCATCGCCATAACCTTGACAGGATATGCCGAGGTCAGTCAATCTACATAGAAGTATAGAAGATCGTCTGCGGTTAGGTTTCACATTAATGGAGATAGACCTTCTCTTTGTGGACATGCTCTGGTTGTGCAAGATGGAGATGGGTGCCCTGCTGCCCTATCTGTGCACAGCATAAAGATGAACTAGCAGCCGCTCTCGATAAGAAATCCTTTGATCTTAATAAGTGATGTTTCGTCCATTTCAATCATAATTCTAGTGCATATGCACCGACTTTGCCCTGTATGAAAGATGATACACGACTGACGTTGAGCATCCGGAAAATATGGCGAATCGCTTGCTGAGGATGCTGTCGGCATACTTATATTTTTACGCGGAGAGCGCCTGCTGGTTCATCTCTATGCTGTGTATCTGCAGTTCTCGTAGATAGCAGCTGAGCTTCCATCTAGATGTGGTGCTATCTACTCCTCTATATCTTCTATCGCCTCACGAAAGCAATTGGCAAAATCTTGCTGTCTTCATGTGGAAGAATAGCAGTTTCTTGTTCTCCGTAGTATCATGGTCGGATGAACCTCCATTTCTTTTGTTAAAATCTAACCACATTTTACACTGTTACCAAATTTCGGTTTGGTTTTTCAGTTTTCAATTATCTAAGCTGCAAGCTATGGTAGAGACTTGGGACTGGTATGTTGCTGTCCCTTATTAATTTAGTTTACTTTTTCATGTGTCTTCTAAAGTTTTTTTGACGAGTAAGTGTACAAAGCTTTTTTATTCTATTCTTTAGTAATTTTAGAGTTTATTGTATTGTGACAGCTCCGTTTTTCTCTTATAAAGTCTTTGATGGTGGCTTAAGAGGCCGAAAGTGCTCAGACGAATTAATTTATGGAGTTTTATTAAATAAAACTCAATATTTACACACTTTTGTAAGTTGAATTAATTGATTTCATAGTCTTGTATTATTCCTCCTACAGCTATGTTTAATAATGAGGTCTTATTTGACCTTATTTAATTGTGTTCAACAAATGATTCAGTTTTTTATTATTTTGTAATTCGAAACGATAATTTTAAAAGTAATTTCTTATGTCATATCTCCTGTTAAATTTCTGATTTGATTCTTAATTCCAGGTGTGTCAGAAAACGATGATATAGAAGACGAACTCTGGAACCTGCTGGACATCATCCACCGTAAAGGCACGCGGTTAAAAGATGAAGCCAACGCGCTGCAAGGCACCATCCGCGACCAGGCCATCGACAAAAACGACCATGACGCCAGCTTTCACGGCGTCCTCTTCGCGTCACCTTCCGGTTCCTCGTCCGATGTGCGCCAGCTCCGACAAGAGAGGGATCTTTTGTTGGACAGGCTGGCGGAAATGGAAGCGGAAGTGCTGGCCGGAAGGGTACACACCTCCAGGTTGCAAGAAGATTTAGAAAACTTGATGAGTACCAAACAGGATCTGGAGGAGCAGCTCAAAGCAGTGGTTACACAAAGAGGTAATTTTTGTTAATTTTATATCATTTTGCAAGGATCGTTCAATAGAACATATTGATGTGTCAGTTTATATTAGTCTTTTGGTTGTGGAAAGCGTTAATGTGCTACAATTTTAATTTAAAATGAAGATTTATAAATAACGAAGTTTTAACAAGTGTACAAAACTTTTTGCACGTAGTATAAAATTTTTTTCGGTACATACTGAAAAAACTTTCGACACCCACCTGATAATATACGTGGGTGTATTTGCAGCACAAAGTAAGCAAGCCATAATAGTCTACTGAACGAATATAGTTTCATATCCATTTTAGTAAAGATATGAAATCCACCAATCACAATTCATATTTTAGTGTTTACTATTATTTTTTTAATTAAATTAGTGACAATTCTAATGACCTTGTTCGTATATTTATTTTTTAGTTATTAAAACAAAATGTAATTAAAAATAAAAAAAATTTATGAAGAATCATAAATACTGGCAATCGACTAGATATTCGTTTACAAAGAAACCGTAATTTTAGTAAATTTTGATAAAATTGAATTATAGTAAAATTATAGTAAAATTATAGTAAAATTATGGTAAAATTATAGTAAAATTATAGTAAAATTATAGTAAATTTATAGTAAAATTATAGTAAAATTATAGTAAAATTATAGTAAAATTATAGTAAAAAAACAGTAAAATTATAGTAAAATTATAGTAAATTTATAGTAAAATTATAGTAAAATTATAGTAAAATTATAGTAAAATTATAGTAAAATTATAGTAAAAAAACAGTAAAATTATAGTAAAATTATAGTAAAATTATAGTAAAATTATAGTAAAATTATAGTAAAATTATAGTAAAATTATAGTAAAATTATAGTAAAATTATAGTAAAATTATAGTAAAATTATAGTAAAATTATAGTAAAATTATAGTAAAATTATAGTAAAATTATAGTAAAATTATAGTAAAATTATAGTAAAATTATAGTAAAATTATAGTAAAATTATAGTAAAATGATAGTAAAATGATAGTAAAATGATAGTAAAATGATAGTAAAATGATAGTAAAATGATAGTAAAATGATAGTAAAATGATAGTAAAATGATAGTAAAATGATAGTAAAATTATAGTAAAATTATAGTAAAATTATAGTAAAATTAAAGTTATAGTAAAATTATAGTAAAGTTATAGTAAAGTTATAGTAAAGTTATAGTAAAGTTATAGTAAAATTATAGTAAAGTTATAGTAAAATCCTAGTAAAATTATAGCAAAATTATAGGAAAATTATAGTAAAATTATAGTAAAATTATAGTAAAATTATAGTAAAATTATAGTAAAATTATAGTAAAGTTATAGTAAAATCCTAGTAAAATTATAGCAAAATTATAGTAAAATTAAAGTAAAATTATTATAGTAAAATTATTATAGTAAATTTATTATAGTAAAATTAAATTATTATAGTAAAATTATAGTAAAATTAAAATTATAGCAAAATTATTATAGTAAAATGTTAGTAAAAAAATTTTTAGTAAAATTATAGTAAAATTATTATAGTAAAATTATTATAGTAAAATTATTATAGTAAAATTTTACTAAAATTATAGTAAAATTTTAGTAAAATTATAGTAAAATGATAATAAAATTGTAGTAAAATTAAAATTATAGTAAAATAAAATTATAGCGTTCCCGTTTTATGGTTCGGGGTTTAAATCTCGGATAAGGTCGTTTTTTCAGATTTGTTTCATTAGTAAAATTCATAATTTCAAATTTTGGTTCCATTTGTTTTTAAAACTTTAATCATTTGGATACGATACGTATACTTGAGTTATACGGTATATATTTTCTACAACCCACTAACAAAATTTTACAAAATTTTAAAAATCAATCTAGAGGTTAAGATAAATAGCAATTTTATAAATACTTAATAAAAAAAAATTGAATTTGCAAATTTTGTTAATTTATAAAACGATATTAATTTGGAAATTAAAAAGGAATTTGGCTTCATCCGGAATTTGAACCCCTGACTTTTGTGATGAGAACTCATCATTTAAACTTAGGCGTTAAACACCTTATAATTGATTACGACTCAAAATTTATGATTTTTACTAGAATTTTACTATAAATTTACTATAAATTTACTATAAATTTACTATAAATTTACTATAAATTTTCTATAAATTTACTATAAATTTACTATTTACTATAAATTTACTATAAATTTACTATAAATTTACTATAAATTTACTATAAATTTACTATAAATTTACTATAAATTTACTATAAATTTACTATAAATTTACTATAAATTTACTATAAATTTACTATAAATTTACTATAAATTTACTATAAATTTACTATAAATTTACTATAAATTTACTATAAATTTACTATAAATTTACTATAAATTTACTATAAATTTACTATAAATTTACTATAAATTTACTATAAATTTACTATAAATTTACTATAAATTTACTATAAATTTACTATAAATTTACTATAAATTTACTATAAATTTACTATAAATTTACTATAAATTTACTATAAATTTACTATAAATTTACTATAAATTTACTATAAATTTACTATAAATTTACTATAAATTTACTATAAATTTACTATAAATTTACTATAAATTTACTATAAATTTACTATAAATTTACTATAAATTTACTATAAATTTACTATAAATTTACTATAAATTTACTATAAATTTACTATAAATTTACTATAAATTTACTATAAATTTACTATAAATTTACTATAAATTTACTATAAATTTACTATAAATTTACTATAAATTTACTATAAATTTACTATAAATTTACTATAAATTTACTATAAATTTACTATAAATTTACTATAAATTTACTATAAATTTACTATAAATTTACTATAAATTTACTATAAATTTACTATAAATTTACTATAAATTTACTATAAATTTACTATAAATTTACTATAAATTTACTATAAATTTACTATAAATTTACTATAAATTTACTATAAATTTACTATAAATTTACTATAAATTTACTATAAATTTACTATAAATTTACTATAAATTTACTATAAATTTACTATAAATTTACTATAAATTTACTATAAATTTACTATAAATTTACTATAAATTTACTATAAATTTACTATAAATTTACTATAAATTTACTATAAATTTACTATAAATTTACTATAAATTTACTATAAATTTACTATAAATTTACTATAAATTTACTATAAATTTACTATAAATTTACTATAAATTTACTATAAATTTACTATAAATTTACTATAAATTTACTATAAATTTACTATAAATTTACTATAAATTTACTATAAATTTACTATAAATTTACTATAAATTTACTATAAATTTACTATAAATTTACTATAAATTTACTATAAATTTACTATAAATTTACTATAAATTTACTATAAATTTACTATAAATTTACTATAAATTTACTATAAATTTACTATAAATTTACTATAAATTTACTATAAATTTACTATAAATTTACTATAAATTTACTATAAATTTACTATAAATTTACTATAAATTTACTATAAATTTACTATAAATTTACTATAAATTTACTATAAATTTACTATAAATTTACTATAAATTTACTATAAATTTACTATAAATTTACTATAAATTTACTATAAATTTACTATAAATTTACTATAAATTTACTATAAATTTACTATAAATTTACTATAAATTTACTATAAATTTACTATAAATTTACTATAAATTTACTATAAATTTACTATAAATTTACTATAAATTTACTATAAATTTACTATAAATTTACTATAAATTTACTATAAATTTACTATAAATTTACTATAAATTTACTATAAATTTACTATAAATTTACTATAAATTTACTATAATTTTATCGTATAACTTAAGTGGGTTATACGTATCGCATTCAAACAATTAAGATAAAATATCTATTTTAAAAACAATTGACACCAAAATTTGAATTTATGAATTTTACTAATGACTTCATTCTGAAAAAATGGAATTAGCCGAGATTTGAACTCCGAAACGGGAACGCGTCACTCAAACTGTTCTATTTTTTAGCTTAAAATTTATAATTGAATTGGTTTTAGATAATTTTAATTTCTGAATTTAAACGAATCTTTAATGAATTGATATTATTTATCGATTCTTCACAAGAATCACTCATTTTTAATTATATTTAATTTCGATAACTAAAAATTTAATGACAGATAGTTTGAGAGAATTGTTATTAATCTAAAATTTTAAAAATAACAGTTGGCCAGATAATAAGTATGAGCTGTGATTGGATTCCGCACATATAAGTAAGTAGTAAGAAACTATTTTCCTCAGTTACGATTAACAAAAATATTCCGCACAAAATAAATGTGTTGTTGTTTATAGCTGACGTTCATGGGAAAAGTATCGTTTTTCACACATACTGTAATACATTTTTTTTCCTACGACCACTTAGGAAAGTGACACATATCGCACTACATAGGCCTATCTTCTTAGGAGAATGCACAATGGGCTTAATGAGGCCTAAGTGCCGTCGGGGTAACCCACCCTCCACACGTTATAGATACAGATAGTCCTATGGAAAGTGCCCTATATCACACGCGTATGAATAAGAATTTACTTTCCACCCGTGTGTGAGTATGCTACTTTCCGCATCAGCTGGCACAAAATGTCATATGATTGTTAAATTATTGAAATTGTTTTAAAATTTAATCCTAGACATTTATCTTTAACAATTATTATTAAAATAATTTTGAAATAACTAAGTAATGTTTGCTTTTTATTCTGGTTAAACACAATCGATTAGATCATTCAATTGACGCAAGGCATATGAGCTCAGGTGGTAGAGTATCACACTTTATTAACTTTGTCATTTGAGACCTGGCGAGCGACCACGTTCAAATCCTTGCGGGGGCAGAATTTTGTTTTTTATTTTTTTTTTATTTTTTAGTTTTTTTGTGTTTAGAAAATATGAAAATTGAATAAATACGATTATTGTTGATTATTTTTTAAATTCATTTTAATTATTATAATAATAACCTGGTTTTACATTTTTTGATGAAATTATTTTGTGGTCGTAGGAAAAATATTGTACATCACTTGTGTGAAAAGTGATGTTCCACACTCGTGTGATAGTCGCACTGGGCTTGTGCCTCGTGCGACAATATTTCCTACTCGTGTGAAAAATGTCACTTTCCATAATCGTAATGTATACTATGCGCACATACGAGTATGTAGTAAAAAATGTGTGGAAGTGAGGAAAATGATAGTGTAATAAAATATTATCGCATATATGTTAAAAAAATTTCTTTACATATATCTGTAAGTAGTAGGAAAATGTTTTCCTCACATACGATTAATAAAAAAAATCCGCACAATAAATAATGTGTTCATAGTTGACGTCTATGGGAAATAATGGTTTTTCTCACTTTCACACATACTGTAATAAAACTTTCACTGCATATATCAGTAATTAGTAAGAAAATGTTTTCCTCACATAATAAATGTGTTAAATTGTTCGTATCTGACGTTCATGAGAAAAGTATCGTTTTTCTCACTTTCATACATATTGTAATAAAATTTTACCGCACATTAAAAAAAAATTCAGCACATATAATTAAATAGTAAGAAAATGTTTTCCTTACATATTATCATTAAAAAAATTGCGCACATAATGTGTTAAGTTGTTTACAGCTGATTTTCATGAGAAAAAATATTTTTTTTCTCACTTTCACACATACGGTAATAAAATGTTACCTCACATACATTAAAAAAAATCAGCACATACAATTAAGTAGTAAGAAAATGTTTTCATTACATACGATCATTAAAAAAATTCCGCACATAATGTGTTAAGTTGTTTACAGCTGACGTCCATGGGAAAAGTATAGTTTTTCTTACTTTCACACATACTGTAATAAAATGTTACCTCACATACGTTAAAAAAATCCGCACATATGAGTAAGTAGTAAGGAAATGTTTTCCTCACATACGATTAATAACATAATTTCGCACATAATAAATGTGTTAAATTGTTCGTAGTTGACGTCTATGAGAAAAGTATCGTTTTTCTCACTTTCACACATATTGTAATAAAATTTTACCGCACATACGTTAAAAAAAAATTAGCACATGTAAGTAGTAAGAAAATGTTTTCCTCACATACGATTAATAAAAAAATTCCGCACATAATAAAAGTTTTTCATAGTCCATGGGAAAAGTATCCTTTTTCTCACTTTCATAAATATTGTAATAAAATTTTACCGCACATACATTTAAAAAAATTGCGTCCATTTCTTTAGGTTTTACATGCTTACTTGTTATTTTTAAAATTATTCTGTATATAGAAGTCGCATTATGTTAAATTGAGTTACATTTGTTTCAGGTGAGGTGAATTCGCGAATTCATGACTTGCACCTTCAGTTTGTGACTAAAAGTGGTACCGGTTCGCCGGATAGTGAGAAAAATTTGTTAAGTGATCGAAGGGATTCGACAACGGCAGCGACCTCTAGTCAACAACGGACAAGTCAGAAAAGTGTTAGTGATCTTGACGGTGTACTCAGTGACAAAATTCCCAAAGTGGCAGTGCTGGACTCCAAAAAAATTCGCGCAATACTGAAAGAACAAAATCCATTAGTGCTACAGAAACATTTGTTGACGACCACTGTGAATAATCAGGTAAATTTTAATTCTGTTACCACTAAGGTTGTAATAATTATTAGGTTTCACAAATGTAGTGTTTTCACGTGACTTAAGAAACTGAAACTCATTTACCACAGACTTTTATTAAATAGAAGACCCACTAGTTTAATACAGTTATACAACTGCACCAAAATTAAAAAATACTCGTTCGAAAAAGAATAATAGTTATTTATGATATAAGTGGGATATAGACATTATTAACACACGCATTGTGAAAAATTGGTAATCACATAGTACGTTAATAATGTAGTATCCCACGAATATCTTACAAAATTTTAACTACGACCGCCAAAAGAAAAAAAAACACTATTAATCAAGTAGAAATAGAACTCAGAATCTTCAGTACCGAGTGGTCGCCGCAACCGAAATAACTGTTGTGTTACAATTTGGCATTTACATGACACACAGTAAGTGTCAACCATGTAAAATAATAATCGTAGTAGTAGCTAAAACAATTTGTGGTTTTTTTTAATTTTGACATATAGCAAGTGTCAAAACGATCTACTTTACCAGTTATACAGGGTGATTCATTGGGAAATGGACATACGTTTACTGTGGATGGAGGCGACTGTGATAGTTCTAGATGATTCATATTTAATGGGTCTTTGGCCATTTATAACCGAGATACAGGGTGTTTCATCAATTTTATTCATTTCTTTCCTTATTCATAACTTTGGAACAATCCTGTAGATATTTATAACGTTTGGTATATTAAACATTTAAATTGAAAAATTATAATCGAATTTTTTTTTATTAATATACATTAATATTTATACATATACCCATTTTTATACAATATTTTAAATATTTTGAATTTGATATCAAGGTAGGTAGCATAGATAAAAAAATATGCATATTATTATATCCATGGTAGGTGACAAAGTTGATTTTTAGCAAGCGTTACAAAAAAAATTATCCTAATTTTAAGAATTAAATCCATTGATTTTCTAAAGCAAATTATTGTTACCCTTATGTTTTATGCAATTGGATTATTTTAACAAAAATGTTTAATCTATCATCTGGGTAGGTACCGTGGGCAGAATAATATTCCAATTTCCAAATTCACTCTACCGTAAACGCGCCAGATTTGGAGGTTAATTTAGGACCAGTAATATATAGTTATATAGATTGCTCATTTATATGTAAATCGGGAATCGAGATAGAATAAATTTAAGTGGTATTTTGATTTCTTTGAAGTCAATGATTCTATATCATTTATATGAAACTATTTAACAAAAATAACATTTATTTTCACCAAAACTGGCTAGACAAGAAGCGGGTTTCACTGAGTGAGGTTTTCTCTATATCTAATACATGCAATGTTTTCTCTCAATTTTGAGTACCTACTCAGTTATAAATTGTAAACATAGTTTAACGTTAGATAAATTATCAAGGCTAAGAAATAGAAAATCGGAAATTTCAATATAACTTTTTATTCGGTTGGAAAGACAAAAAAAAAAAAACAAATTCGATCAATAACCGTAACTAGTAAACATTCCTTGTTTTTTACAGGATGATAATAAATATTAAAAATAAATTACATCTTATAGGGTGATTTCGTAACACACTCCCACCTTTTGCAATTTGATCACTTCATATTGTAAAACAAATCTAAAATGGAAATCTTTTAGGTGGTCGTACGATACGCCCACTACGTGTTTTGATAATTTCCTGACAGTCAAAATTATCTTTTGTTACCTCCAAAGGGAAAATCCTCTGTACTGGTCTCAACAACTCTCCTGTACTTGTACATACGCGAACAAGCCTAATATGTCCGTCTTTACCTGGTATTACTTCATTAATCCGTTTTTCAACTATGATTTCATCCTCATCAAAAAGAACTTCTGCAGTAGGCCACGAGTTAGGTTCTAATTTTAACCAGGATGGACCCTCCCACCATCTAGATAACAAGAGATGTTTCGATAAGCAACCCCTTGATGGCAAATCAGCTGGATTCATCTTACCAGGTATAAACTTCCACTGACATCTAGTGGTGAACTCCAAAATTTCGTTAATTCTATTACGAACAAATACCACCCATATTTCATCTCGCGTAATCCAGGCCAAAACTGTAGCTGAATCAGACCAAAAAAAAAATACTCTAATTCCATTAATTTACCAAACTCTGAAATACGTTTCGCTAGACGAGATCCTATCAATGCGGCCATCAACTCCAACCTCGGAATTGTCATCTTCTTCAACGGAGCTACTCTAGCTTTTGCTTGGACAAGTGTCACAATGACATCCGAAGACGTCTCAATTCTAAGAAAACAGACCGCAGCATATGCGCCTTGACTAGCATCACAAAATGTGTGAAGACTCATCTTACCGATTCTACTAGTCAAAGAAAAACTTCGAGGAACCCTAATTTGAAACAAAAACTTCAAATCATTCAACCACTTGAAATACTCAGATTTTAAGTTCTCGCATAGTTCTTCGTCCCATTTCAAATTATACTTCCAAGCCTGTTGTAACAATAATTTGGGAAACAACGTTACTGGACAACTAAAACCTATCGGATCCAAAATCCTTTGGGCAATAGATAATACCATTCTTTTTGTTGCTTTGTCAGAATTTAATTTTTGAAGAACATCTGGAGAAATCAACAACATATCCTCTTTTTTATCCCAAAGAACACCTAAAACATTACATAAGTTTTTTGAAAAAACTTGTGTATCCGTATATTCCCAAGCTCTCAAATCAAATTTTGCATTTTCCATTATTTCTTTAGCTTCTTCAATAAAATTTTCCAACTCCATAATAGTATCTACACTAGTAATACAATTGTCCACATAAAAACTATTTAACAATTTTTCTACGACTTTTGCAGAATATCTATTTTCCTTTCGCAAAGAACTTTCTAATATTCTTTGTAAATGATATTGGATTACTGCTCCTAAATGAAACGGACTACTAGTCAAACCGAAAACTACGCGACAATGTCTATAAACAACTTTATTTCCATCATCATCTATCCATAAAAATTTTAAAAATTCCCTATCAGTATTTTTCAGACCAATTTGAAGGAATGCCTTCCTAATATCGGCGACAACACCAAACTGACGAAGTCTGAATCTGAAAAGTATAGCAGGTATCTGTTCAATCAAATTAACACCTGTCTCTAAACAATTGTTTAAGGAAGGAAATCCCTTTTCATGTGATGATGCATCAAACACTGGTCTGATTTTAGTAGTGAGACTGGAAGGTTTGATAACGGCTCTATGTGGGAGAAAATGGCCTGTTACTTTTGATTCCTCATGAACTACTTCCTCAATAATACCTTCAGCTAGCCACTCTTTGAAAACATTTCCGTAATCATCAAAATTACCACTTAATCTAAGTTTTTTAATAGCTGAATCCAACCTACTACAAGCCATTGATAATTATTGCCTAATATAGGATGACCACTAATCCACGGAAGTACCACAACGTACCTACCATTACCTTCTCTACTGACTGTCTCATTGAACCGCTTAAAAATTTCATGTTCCAATTCTACCTTGGACTTATATTCACACATCTAACTCCCAAAGATCCTTAATTCTATTAGTAGTAAACATAGAGCTTATCATCATTACAGAAGAATTGTATTTTTAACTTGAAATCTTACCCATCAAAGTCCATCCCAAATATGTTTCGACAGCAGTTAGATTAGAAGAAAGTTGCAGAATTTTACCTGTCACAAATTTACCTGCTATATCAGCTCCTATCAAAATTTCAATTTCAGTATTAGCATCATTTAATACAATACCAGCATTATGAAGCTCATTCATCCAATCACCTACATTTGTTGCACGAATATTTCCACAAATTCTCTGTTCACCTAAAGCTACAAAATTATAATGACGATTGAGATCAATACTAGTTATACGAATTTCATATAAAGAATGATCTATTTCATCAGTAACTTGACCTCCAAAAAGACAATGTACGACCCTTTCATTTCCAATTAAATCGTACTCCATTTCCGCAGCTGTTTTTCCAAAATATATGAACTTTCTGAACCTGTATCTATCAGAACTCTGACTCTACGACTTTTTCCATTTTTTTCCTTCAAAATTACCAGTAATGATTGTAGAAGAACACATGGTGAGTTGTTGAGACTGGCTAGAGAACTTTCCATAGGAGGATTACCACCATCTGAAACATGAGAAATATTATTAACAGGTATGTTATCTACCTTTAGACACATTAACTTATTATGTTTACCCCCACATTTACTGCAATGTATACGTAATTTACATCTTTTCTGTACATGACCTGTATTAAAACATAAGAAAAATGCACCTGAAACCTTTAAAATATGCAATTTATCGTCATGTGACATTTTCTTAGCTTTCAAACAGTTATAACTTTTGTGATCATTTAAATTACAAAAGATGTAAGTGGATACCTTAGTAGTAAGTAACCCAGTGGCAGTCGCAACATCTTCCTTCTTCAATGGTACCTTCTTCTTATCACCTTTAGGTGTTACTCCAATACCTGCCATGGCTAACGTAATCTTCTCTTCATTTTCTACTTCTCTTCTAATGAAATTCAACAAATCATCCAACTTATCTTTGGGTCTATCAGAATGCGTAGTCATCGATCTTTGCCAAATTCGTAACAATTCCTCCGATAAACATGATTCTACCATAGGATATAAGATTGAAGAATATTTCTCTGATGTTATCCCTAGAGATTCCAAGGATCTCAACTGGCATTCCAGACTATCATACAAAGTAGATAAGCATACATTTCGGGACACCACCAATGTTAGAAGGTCTCTTATGTAAACTTCAATTAATAACTCTTCCCGACCAAATCTACGTTTAAGGGCTTCTATTACCTTATTATAATTTTCTGCAATAGGAGGGAAACTATCAACAATCGCTCTTGCTCTAGAGCCTTCTTGTGTACTTTGTCTCAAATAATAATTTTTTTCTTCTTTATCAATTGTGGGATCTTCATGGAATTTTTTAAATAGACCCCAAAAT